TTAGCAGGAATAAGTCTAACTTTGATTGGATTGAATGGTTTGTACAAGATTGAAATTTCGGGTTGTCACAACCTTGATCTTCTTAAATCTTCTAGAGCCTTCTAGAGAACCCTTCTTAGTCCAACATGTCGTTTAGATTAGGGGTGTTCAAAAACATCCGTATCCAAAATTCCGATCCAAAATTCCGAATCTGAATTATCTGAAAAATCGGATATGAATTTTCGGATATCCGAAAGTCCGGATATCCGATTTTTCAGAATCGGAATTGGATAATGTTTTTCAGATTTTTCGGATATCCGATATCCGAAAATTTTGATTTTAGTTTATACATTATTTGTTATTTTAGTCACATATGTCTTATGATATGAATGTTAGTAACTAAAACATGTTGATAATACCCTTAATTAAATACCTATATTACTTCATATGCCTTTCTAATTTAAAAATATGCATTTCTAATTTAAAAACTTCATATGTCTCACAATTTTTAACAAAATTTCAAATTTTCGGATATCCGATTTTGGTATCTGATTCCGTGTCTGAAATTTCGGATATCCGAAATTTCGGATTCGGAATCGGATACCAAAAATCAACTATCCGAACTTTCTGATATCCGGTTATAAACACCCCTAGTTTAGATGATAGGGCTAAAATATAATCCCTTTAATGGAATCATACCCAATGACTCCAAAGAAAGAACCAAAAGAAAACTAGGAGACATGATTAATCTCAACAAACCCTAAGAGGGTTTGGAAATCGTCTCGTAGAAGGAAATAAGGGAATTGGTGAAAACTTCAAGCCAAGGTACAAGAAATTATGAGATCCCTAGAGCCCTATTTATAGTCTGGGATCCATTCCTTAGGTTTGTCTCCCATCCCATGTGAGATGGAGACCAAACTTGAAATTCACCTCCATCCCATGTGAAATGAAGTATTTTTTTCGTCCACCTTATTTCCTTAAGGGTTTTAAAATATTTCAATCAACCAACTATTGATTAATTAATATTAAACCCTTTTAATTAATTAAAACTATTTAATTAACTCCAACTCAATTCTAAAATGGTCTCCGATTAATTTATTAAGCATAACAAATTAATAAACTTATTTGTCCTTATGTCCAGTTCTTTTAACTCCTTATTTGTGTCTCGAGGGCAACCCAAAAGGACCTGATTATTATTTAGAAAATTACCAATAGTTAATGACATTGGACTCTATTATCAGCAATAGACAACATTGATTTTGCTAATACTAACAGTGGTGGCCGGAAAGTGATCTATGGTGTTGGCTAGTGAACACGGTGATGATCTTTAGAGAGAAAAAGAAGTAAGGGGTTAGGGTTAGGGTTTTGGAAAAGGATGGAGGTGATGGCTACAAGGTTATGGACTTATGGTGAGATAAATATTTTTCCAACAAAACAAATATTAATATAAAATCGAAAAATAAAATAAAAATTAATAAAAATCAAAATTATAAAGTAATTTAAAACAAATAAACTATAAAAACTAACCAAACAAACAAATTAAAATTATATAAATGACCATACTAATTAAGATAAATCTAACCAACAAACAAATAAAATTATATATAAATGACCATACTAATTAAGATAAATCGTATGTACTAGTCATTTAATTTGTCTTAAAAAAAATGGAAATGAAGAAAAAATGACCAAATAATAGCAGCCGAATATTGAAGGCGCGCATCCAATTTTTTTGACCCGTGAAGTTTAAAATAGAATCAGAATGAGAACACCCCAAAATCAGCTCCATCCCTCTCCCGCCTCAATAATTCAGTTTGAGATGTTTTGGGAAATCGCACCCATATATCCCTCGTAACTCTCATCCCCGGTCAATCAAGTTTCAGACTTTCCATACAAAATTGGGTCTAGATCCTCCTCAAGGTCAGTATCTCAACGCTCAATTAATTAGATTCTCATTGTTTGACAACTTTCTACTGCTTATCGTTTCCCAATTCGAGTAACATTGTAAACATCGTGCCTTTTTTAGGGCAACAAGTTGATATTTCGTCGATTCTGACATCTTTGACAAGCGGGTTTTGTATCATTCTTGAGCTTTGCTAGTTGAGTAAGTCTGGATACTACCTGCTTACGTTAACTATGAGTGAAGAGATACCCTCGGATGCAACTTACAAACCCCGATCTGCGTTAGGAGATGTTACAAATCAAGTTGGGAAAAGGGGGTTTTCTTTCGTATCCACTCCAGGTGTTCAATCTGGAGATGGTTGTAAAAAAGATGAAGGATTTCAGTTTGCAAAGAAAGAATGTCTAAGAGTTGATACCTCCCAAAAAGAAAACTTCCATAAAGAGATTTCAGCCATAGCCAGTATATCTAAGATCTCATGTGAAATTAAGGAACCCTGCTCACAAGATGGTAGAAAAAGCATCACCTCTCCTGGTTTAAAAGCTGGTGATGTTGTGAGCCCATCTGATAGAAACGGTTCTCACGTGACAGTAGAAGCTGAAGAAGATGAAAGAACTGATTCTGTTTTTGCACCACAAAATCCATCAAAAGAAAAGTTGGAAAACAGCTTGGGGATGGATGATGGTGATGATGCCTGTCTTGATAATTTATATTCAAACAAAGATGAGTATCTTGATTGCTCAAAATTTCCCGAGTCACAGGAGTCCAGATGTGGTTTAGAGATTAAGGGCGATGGATTCTCAAGCATGTGTATAGACTCTATCAAAGCTTGTCCATGTTCCTTTTGCATGAAGGGTGAGTTTCAAACTTCAAACTTCATACAGAATTTTTACGTTGTTATGTTGTTACACATGTAAGAAGCACAAATTTCGATACATTGTAGAGTCTTACAATGATCTGATTAGACTCTGGTGTTCTTTAATGAAAATCAGCTGCTTACCTTTGGTCAGATCTACACTACCAGGATATCAAAGGCAGAATAGCTGGTGAGTTGGGGTGTGCTTTGTATTTTTCTAAGATTTTGTTAATGATATTTTGAATTCCTTTTTTTTTGTGTGTGTTTACTTTCTTTGTCTGTGTATAGCAATAAAGAAGAGTCAGAAAGAAGCGAGCATTTTGGTTAACCAAAACAGCAGGGATGGTGTGATTGGTATATGTGGGGAAGGGAACTCAGAAAAATTCTCAAACTTGGAGTCGGATCTCACGGGTCGATGGATGTCACTTTTTGTTCATATGGAGGAGATCTTTGTTCGTGAGGGAAGCCAACTAGTAAGATAACTAACTCCATTTGCTTCTAGTTTTTATTTACTTTTTATCATATTAGTTGGAAATCAAATGGTCTTATGCATTGCTCCTTTGATGAATTGGAAACTGCTATGAACTCACTTGGAGTATGAAATAAAAAACAAGAACATGAAATAAGAGCTCTAATGTATTGAATTAAACACTTCAAAATACCAAAAGAACAAAATGATAACCTAATGATTTGCTACAGTTTCGAGAGCCTAACCTTTCCCAAAGTATGAAATACCCTATCTCTCATAGATGTTGTGCTCTCCTTCCACTCTTAGCTAAATACTGCTAACGTATCAGACAACCAAGGGACAAAATTACTAGTTTACCCTTCTAACAGAAATAAAAACCTAAAGTGCCTAAGTTACTTACCCCTCCACTATCAGAGATGCTTTTTATTTGTTGAATTCCTCTTTTTACCCCTTTTCTTAAATGTTTGATTTAGGTGGTGTTTGTTTTTTAGAGGTAAAAAGTTTGTTGTATTTTGCGGACCACATCTATAGACATCTGCATGAATCAAACATTGCAGTCTGCAAGAAGTTTGTTTATTTTTTTAAAGTTTGCATACTGCTAAAATAAATTGAAATTTAAATGAATTGATTTTTTAAACTTCAAAAAGTTTTTCAACACTAAAATTTAAATAATTATAGTTTTACAACATTTAAATATAATTCATACAATTTTTTTCTTACAAACTTTTATACAACTCAAAAGTATAATTCATGCAATGGTAATGTTTATTTGTAAAAAGATCTTATAAAAAGTGGTTCTTACTTCTTACAAAATTTTGTGTAAAAACATTTGAAATTTTTTTTTTAAGCAAGGTTTAAAAAGGCGGAAACGGGCCTCGAGGCGTAAGCCTCGAGGCTAACCGAGGCGTAAGCCTCATAGGATTATCAATAAATAATTATATAAAATTATATATATAATAAAAAAACATAATTTTATATCTAAATGAGAAATATAATAGCATAAAAGTGAAGCACAAAATCCTTAAATGTCGATAACACAAAAGTCTAGCATAAAAGTCTTGAATGCATGGAACCTAAATCCTTAAATGTCAACAACACAAAAGTGAAAAGTCTGGCACAAAAGTAAAGTCTAGCACAAACGTCTTAGAGGCACAGAGCCCAAATTCAAACATTATTAAAGCAATCTTTTTCTGGCGCATCATTCTCACGATAGATGTCATCTTCATCAACCGAATTTAGTCCATCATCATCTTAATCCACCAAATTCACTTCAACATTTTTCCGCTTCCTAGATGAAGAACTTTCACCTCTCTCCCCAATTGCCCTACAAACTACATCAATTTCATCTTCTTCACATGCTTCATCATATTCATCACTCTGGTTAGCTATCCACTCATCATCAGATAACACCTCATCAACAACTAATGGATCATCAGACTCTTTTAGCTTAGTCTTCCTGATAAACTTTTGCTTCAATTTCTTATTGTACATGATGTACACCAAGTTATTCATCCTATCAGTGCTCAATCGGTTTCTTCTTTTTGTATGAACTTGATTAAACGTACTCCAGTTTCGTTCACACGCCGAAGCCGAACAAGTAAGACCCAATATCTTCATCGCAAAGGCCTGTAGTTATGGAACTTCATCTCCATAATGTCCACTACCTACAAAGTATGCTCCACCATTAATAGCCTTCTCAAAATTTCGTTGGTATCTGAATTTTGAACTTTCAAAGTCTTTCAAGAATTGCTTCATCTCTTCTTTCACTTCCGGAGGCACTAGAGGACAAGGTGATGTATTTTTGTGTGTACCAGCAAGATGGGCTTTCAACCTTTGTACTCCTTCGGTGATAATTTTCTCACAAAACTTGCACTTTAGATATTTATACCCTTTCTTTGCACCCTTTGCCGGCACCTCCTGTTCTGTACCATACCGCCAAGCTGGATCTATTCGTGATCCCTTAGCAGCCATCCTAAATCTTGAAGCCTTCGGTTTGTTAGAGAGAATTTAAGAGGGTGCGATGGCGAGAGAGAAAAGAGACGATGGCGGCTGACTAGGTTAGAAAGGGTTTATGAAGTTTATAAATATGTATAGAAAAATAGGTTAGAGTCGAAGAGTCAAAGTCATAAAGGGAATAAAAGACAAAAAAAGTCAAAAAAAAGTCAAAATGTCAATAAAAACATGTGTCTGATGAATCTTAAGCCTCGACCCCTCGACGCCTCACACCGCCTCAAGCCGCCTCACTCCGGTGAGGCTTAAGCCTCATTTTGGCCATCTAAGGCTTAGGATTTGAGGCTTTTTTCTCACGCCTCAGCCGAGGCTAGCCTCGAGGCTTACGCCTCAAACCGCCTTTTTGAACCTTGTTTTTAAGTTTATAACATGGCAAAATAACAATTTTAAAACTTTGTTGGATCTAATATGAAAAATAGTTAAAAAATTGCGTCTTTAATAAAAATGATCCAAACTTTGGAAGAACCCAAATTGAAAAGTACTGTATAATTTTAAGAATTAAATGTGAAGTATAACTAAAAAAGTTCCTGATTTTTTTTTTGTCATTTTTGGTTTTAAAATGTGAAGAATTAAGCAGATTTTTCCCCTTAACTTAGACGTTTTTTAAGCTTAGAAGAGGTATAAAGAGGTGAGAAGTGGTTGGACCTTTTCCTCCAAGAAGAGGATGTGCAAACCTTTTAGGTCTGCAAGTGGAAACGTCAGTGTGCCGCGACATGCACGATGCAAACATAAGAGGTCAAGAAGCTCTTTTGGCACTTGCTTGTGTCATCTTCTCACCCGTTACGATTCCTTGCTCATCATCTTTTGTAGTCCCCAAAAATCTATCCATAGGTCCTCTAACACCCCTATTGTTTACACTTGGAGAAGAACTAATGTTGGGATTCACAAAGTATGCACCACATTCCACATTCTCTTCAAAATTGCGTTGGGCCATAAATTTTGTAGTTTCAAAGGTCTTCAAATATTGAGGGATTTCCTCCTTCACCTCATCGGGAACATTAGGACAAGGTGAAACATCTTTGTGAGTGCATGCAAGATGTTCCTTCACTCTCTTCACCCCCCCTTGATGACTTTACTACAAAACTTACATTTTAGGTATTTGTAACCTTTTTTTCCACCCTCAGTTGGTATTTCTATACTATACGGCCATGCACGATCCTTTCGTGACCCTTTAGTAGCCATTAAACACATAATAAATGCATGTATGCATTAAATAATAAATGGCAATAAATAAACACATGGATCATAAACTCACAAAACAATAAGTTGATTGAATGAATAACAAATAAACACAACAAAAAGAGCTAATAATACTAGAGAAGAAGAGGCAAAAAGAAAGATAAAGAAAAAAAGGATGTAACCTGGTCTTCAATGGTCGAAGATACAATGGTATGAGATTTCAGAAAATATGGAAGATTTATGTGATACATATATGTTGACTTTGAATAAAGAAGAAGAAAAAGAAGGAAGATCAAAGTAACAGGCAACATATCATTCTAGACTAGGTCAAAAAGTGTGAAATTTGATATTTTGGGAGGTTTCGGAACTCACTTTCTTGTAGAAGTTGCAGAAGTAAAAGTAAAAACAAAGCTGTTGAAAAACAGCTGTAAAAAACGTTAAAAAAAGGGTTAGAAGACAAAATCTGCTCTTGAACGCCTCCACATAAAACGCACCGCCTTCCTCTGTTTTCATCCGCTTCTCTCCGCCTCAAACATCAGACGCATATGCCCTAGACCAGACCTTAGAATCGGCGCCTCATACTCGTTTTAGGCTCGAATCGTTTTGAGGCGCGCCTTGAGGCGTACGCCTCGACCAATTTTTTAAACAATGGTTCTAGGCGCTAATTCCATAATTTGGTGAAATTGTTCAAATGTTCCTTTTTTAAGTATTCTCTCGCGATGATGAGCGAGAGACCGAGAGGTGCTTGTTCGGCCTTAAGAATGTTCACCTTAAGAATGTTCAGGATATTAGTTGTGTCTCTTGAAAGCTGGTTAAGAGCAACTCAAATTAGGTTTTTGCTCCTGCTGGCATGGTTCAAGTCTAGGTAGCAGATGACGAGGTGGTAAGTTCCATGGTTGTTGATTGTGTTTCAATAGAAGGTAGTATAAGGGAATTGGACTTGTCAATGATTGACTTGGTTTAGCAGTAAATGGGCTCACTTTTTCCTCTTATTTAATAATCAATTTCATGAACTTGTCTAAATTTGGCAGGCCTTTTAT